TTGTGGCCGACGGTGTGAAAGCGGCTGGCGGCCGGTGGCTGGCGGCTGGTCGGTTGGTGGCTGGGCAGTAACAGCTGGTGGATGCCTTCCTTAACCTTCTGGATTGAGTTTACTTCAATAGGCAAGACTCTCACATGAAGGGAATTGGTTAACCTTCCATTTGTAGAAAAACACTCAGAAGAAACTACGGCACAATCTTGAATGAGAAGTCTCTCAAGAAGGACTTGCTAACAGAATGGAAGAACAGAAAACAGCTCATCCTGGGGAAATAGGAATTGCTAAACAGATTGGAACAATAAAGTGCTAACCTCTAACAGTCTATCACCATTAATCAGTACCAGCGTTTCATTTTTCTGTTGAAGATTCCTTTTCCATATGTGGATACAACAATCTCCACTAGCAGGGGAAATTGCAGCCACATGAACAAAGTTACAGGGATAGAGGCAAGGAGTACAATTGGAATTATAACTTGCAATCTCCCATCCAACATGATTATAAGAGCAGCACAGAAGGTTACCATCATGGCTGCAATAGAGAAGAAAAGCATGGAAAGGCCGATAATTAACTTGGTGGGCAAGGATTTAAGGAAATCTTCCTCTGAGTATCGCGACGTAAGAATTCCTAAGAACATCAACACTGATGTTGATGAAGAAAAGAGAGAGATTGCATCCGCTACTATAAAAACTGTAAAAGATTTCTCATCTCTAAAAATCGGATAGCCGGTCTCTTGAACGTTGCCGCCGGGAACAGTAAAGGCAGCAGTAAACATCATTGTAATGATGAGAGCACCCACAACTGTACAAGAAGTTGCTGCTTCTTTCATCCATTGCTCTCCTTTCACTAGCAAGTCCTTATGGTCATACGTAAATAATTCCCTGGCTGTCTGAGTGTTCTCATTAGGATAATCCTTTAGTATAGGATTCATAATGCTTTCCACTTCCTGCATTAAGGTTTTTGAATTCGAGTGAAATTATTTCTTTTTGGATAACAATGAAAATGTGTAAATGGGTACCCTAAACTCAAATCAATTAGGTCTTGATCAGTTCTAAAATATCTTTGATCAAGGTTCAATCAATTTTTTTTACAGATGTTGAGTGTAGAAAGCTCACCTTGTACCATTGTAGCTCTCTCTGCATCTGGAGAGCTGCACCAGAGATCCGAGCTAGTTGAGAAGGAGGTGATAGTTTTGCTGCCAAATGTAACATTGTATTTCCAGTGCTATCAACGAGGGAAACAAATCCTTCTCTTTCTGCTTCCAGTCCATAGAAAAGGCTGAACACTTTTTCTTGCCGGTTTGCAATCGAGGACATAAATACGTTCCTTGAATTGCCATCTCCACTAATCATTACATGAGGACAAGCTTTAATCACCTCAGTAATAAACTCAACCATGCCATTCCTTACAGCATTGTGGAACGCTCCATGTACATCTGCCTTGAGGTATTCCTCATAATCCAGAGTTGATATATACTCACACATACACCGTAGAATTTTATCTGAATAAATGTGGATCTTCTTCAACTCGTATATTTTCTTGATTCCTGGATCAACCATCAAAGAGTGATCAGATAAAGCCATGATAATGATGATAGAAATCAAGAGATGTCGGATATATTTTGCTTACCTAAGAATGCGAGGAGATTTATTGCAAACCCACGCAATTTGCTTGACACTGAAAAGTTGGACAAAAACAAATTAGAGAAATTATCACAAGCAGCGTATATGTATGCTAATCAAACTTGCATCTATTAAGTTTTCAATGTAATGATAATTGCTCCAGTAACTGAAAGCTTTGAACATTAACTTAGTATGATAAAATGTTTTATGCCGACACGATGCGTGGACCTGCTAAATTTATATAAAAAAATTATGAGATTTATGGGATATGGGATTGAATAAAGGATCGGATACTTGGATTAGAGTTCAAAAAAGTTTTTATTTTGGAAAATAGTAATAAATGTATCAAGAAACTGTCGAAAATTTCAGGGGGCCAAATTGTTTCCAATCTGGAAGGGCCATGCAGCCCTACCCCTTTAAAGGAGAGGGAACAAAAACAGAGAGAGATTTGTGCAAATACCTTGGAGGATAATGTTCTTCGACTCACTTAGGCTTTGATCAGGCATATTAATACGAACATTGTCATCAGTTGTAGCAATTGATTGCAAGGGAATACCTGCCATGATTTTAGAATCAAGTCAATCTTAGTGAATATATATAACTTGAAGTTTACCTAACATGACTTATGAAAAAATTGATTTTTTAACATGAATCATAATTTAAAAAGTAGTTTTTTTATATAGATCATTTATATAAAAAAGGTTCAAATAACTTTATTTTAGAAATATGTTTGATAAAAATAATTTAAAGTAATTATTTTAAAGAATAGATATATTATAAGTTGAAATTCGTAAATTAGATTTATTTTTTTCCTAAACTTTAGATCACGTTAAAATTTTGACTCAGTTTTGTAATAAATTTTGAATTAAACCAAAAATTATTTCCAACTAAATATATTTACAATTTTTCTATGGGTAAAAAATTACAAAATAACTCATATCAATTGACAAAAATTATATCAAATAGAACCTTGCTTTCTTTCTTTGTGACGGTGTGGTAATCTCCAAAAACATTTATAA